TAAGCAAGCTAATCAAGCAATGAAACTGAACTTAAATCAAATTTTTGAAGGAGCAAAAACGTTCGCGAAAATTTAGATTTTTTAAAACAAGCTACTGAAGCAATGAAGCGTTGATATGGGTCTTTTTCTAAGAGCACACCGATTCGTAAAAAGTTGATTTGTTTCAGCAAGTTATTCAAACAAATAAACTGAAAGCTTTCCCGTCATTTCAAAGCAGAATAGATTCTCAAAAAAGGCGCCTTGGACGCAAACAAAGAGCTCTAAACCGTGATTATTTACAAAAAAATCGTCATAATTTTTGCCAATATTATGGTTATTCTGGATTTTCAGCAGAGCTCCAAAAAACACTGTTTCATACTTTGAACTAGTAAGTCGTATTATCATCCTTTTTTTTTAAAAACTGACAACCTTGTTGAAAAGAGAGCGCAGCCGAAAACATCACACAGAAAATGAGCATCACAGCGATGGGAAAGACGATTCTGAAGATGACCACGAGCAACCAACCAACACAATTTAAGTAATTCAACCTCTCTTCCAAGTTGTACTCTACAATAAAAACACCGATAGAAATTAAGCACAAATGAAGGAAAAGAGTTAGGTCAACAAACCAGACTCTTTCTAAAATTGGCACTCATTTCATGAAACTATCCTAATTAGAGAGAACCGAATCGATGGATAGTTTTATATTATGCTGTGAATTCTGAAAATAAAAATCCTTTTTCGAAGCTAGAAGTAGTTTTATCGCTCCGTTTCCTTTTTCATAGGAAAGCGAGTAAACTGCCTTGCTATTAGCAAATGAATTCAAGCTGAACTTAATTTGTCGATATCGGAATAGTTGCAGTCATAAATGCCTGATAATGAGTTATTGCCACATCTGTACTTATAGGAGCTTTATATGTCTTTTTTCTGAATTAAAAACAAAAAAAAATCAGCACGAACTACAGAATGGACTTCTCCATTTTAATTGACGCATCTCTGTCAAGAATAACACTTATGACGTTGATTTCTTTTAGCTTGTAGATAACTCGGTTTGTTGATATGTGACAGGTTGAATTTTGAAAAAAAAACGCATAAACTGCCTCGTGACAGAAGCACCGAATCACAAGTTAAATCTGCCAATTGTACCAGGAGCCAGGGAATAATTGCGTTTACGAACTGAGAGCATAAATCTAAACAATGATCGCTTTCAGCTAGGGTTCTAAAAGTTTTTAACTATTTAAGACAGAGTAATGTGTTAACTTGATACATTCATGAATTGTGACAGTTTAGCTTTGCGATACTTTATTAGCAGTTTTCAAAACCTATTAAAAAAGTGACCTTTATGAACTTTTATAAACTTCAACCAACTTCGTTAAATAATACTAGCATGAGCGCCACTAATAAAATGATTTCAGACAAGCTTTTAGAAATTGAAACAATTGAATAACTTAAACTGGTTCGCAATAGTTTTTCAGACACAAGCAGTCAAGCGAAGAAACACCGTTTGTTGTTTAACATTTTAGTTCCAATCGCAAATTATGGTTTTTTATCAGCAAGCATTGAAGCAGTAAAAAATTTCAAATATTTCCATAGACTAAATCGATTCGCCAAAAGTTAAGGTTTTTCCTAAGCAAGCTAATCAAGCAGTGAAACTGAACTTCAACTTAAATCAAGTTTTTAGATTTTCTAAAACAACCTAATGAAGCAATGCAGCGTTGATATGGGTCAAGCTTTTTCTAAGAGCACACCGATTCGTGAGAAGTTGATTTGTTTCAGCAAGTTATTCAAACAAATAAACTGAAAGCTTTCCCGTCATTTCAATGCAGAATCGGTTCTCAAAAAAGTTTTTCAATGCAAGCTATTCAAAGCAAGTTTTCCAAAGCAAGCTATTCAATTGGTTCAACCTCAAAATATTTCATGTTACTTATTCAACCTCAAATTATTTCGTGTTATATCATTAAGCAAATCGGTTTGAAAACACTAAAAATTTTCTAAACAAGATATTCAATCGATGAAACTTTGAAGATTTTAGAATATGTCATAGTGGGAGTCGGTTTGCAAAAATGTTTTAATTAGCTATTCAAGTGAAAAAACTTTGAAATAGTTCAGGCCCTTTCATAGAACGAATTCATTTGCAGAAACATGAAATTTTTCATTCAAATTATTAAAGCGATGTGTTTTTTGAAACTTTTCAAGTAATTCTATAGAGCGAGTTGGTATGCAAAAAAATTAATTTTGTAAGCAAACTGTTCAAGCCAATAAAGTTTGAATTATTACAAAAAACGAATTCGTTCGCAAGAAACTAAGTTTATTCTGAGCTAAGTATTCAAGCGATGAAACTTCAAATAATTTCAATTCTTTTCACAGAGTGAATCGGTTGGCGTTTTTTTTTCTGCTTTTAAATTTTTTTCTAATATTCTTAAAGTTTATCATATCTTCTAAAATTTGAGTGAAGTTTTGGCATTATTCACAACCAATCACTACATCCCCGTCGCATTCAACCACGGCTACGAATTTTTGTTTTTCATTTTATTAAAAAATTTTTTGAAAAATTCATAAATGGTCTAAGTCCCCTAAAGTAAAAGCTTCAGAAAGGCCAAGTTGAATCATAAAAATTGCAAGTCGAAATTACAACTAGGCTAGCATGCAAGTACGGCCACAAAACTGACTTAAAAATAATTTTGAGTTTAAGAATAATATGCAAAGTTCAAAACATCGTCTATACTTCTCAACTTATATCTTCTCAACTTTCAGCTTCTGAAAGGTGGAATTCTGGCGTTGGAATTACAGCCTTAACTTCAAACCCCATTCACACCCGGGTACAAAATTTTCATCCTAAATTGTAATAAAAAATAGGTTTGATTTTTTTTCTATGTTTTTAAAAACTGTTCGAAAGATTCGTATAATTTTCCATATCTACTAAACTACGGGCCTCTGTACGGTGAATTTTGGCGTGTGAATCATAACCCTAAACTACACAATCCGTTAGCATGCACCGACGGGTACACGTGTTTGAATTCAAATTTACTGTTGATTTTTCTCAAGTTTTTAAAATGTATCGAAGTAAATTTTCTCAAATTTTGGCAGATAGTGACAGAAAACGAAAAAAGGATGGCAGACAATTGAAATATAGAAGACAAAAAGTCGACAAAAAATCATAAACGCTAGGAATTAGAAAAGCTCTTCATTTTTTTGTATAATGTTCAAGTTCAAATATCAAAAAAAATACATAGCCTTACAGCTCGTCGAAGTACAAGAACAATTCCTTTTTGACCTTTTTCTGATAAAAATTAAACCAATTTTAAAAAATAGTCTCAATCGAATTTTTTTTACTTTGCTGTTGTAAATCTGAAACTTCTTCCTGAGAAAAAAATCATCAAGACCTATATAAGAGTCTGAACTGGGTTCATAGACTCTTGAAAAGTGTGAGTTAGGAAAACTAAAAAAATTTTGTCGAACAAAACAAAATCCTCTAAGAATTGTTAGATTTCAATTATCTTCTATGATTTACTCATTACTGATAAATATAGCCATTTTTGATTGAAATTAAAAAACCTAGAACACTTCCATTTTGCTGAAAAATCTACACAATAAAAGTTAATTTGAACGATTTTTTCTCTTCTTTTTGCATTTTTGTTAATGAAGAGCGTAGTAAGATATTCAATTAGCATATGAATTCAAATTGGACTTGAAAACAAACCGAAAGTCAGGTCACGAAAAATCAAATATTCGGTGTGAAATCAATTGGAGAGTCTATACAAAAAACAAAGAAAATCCCCTGGAGGTAGCGTTAGGAACAGACGGTTCTAATTACAGCTCCATTTGGCTTATTTCCGTTTCGTTATTGTTCTAGATCAGAAAATACGGACTACGGTTTCGAGAACGAATAAACAATGATGAAAAAAACTTTGGAATTGAATGGATCAATATCAAGTTTCTGTAATATCCTCTACGAAGCAAAACTTTCCAAGCAATTTTTCTGGACACTAAATAGTTTTTTTAATAACGATCGAAACACATCAGGGAGCTTTCAAAGATATATCAAGCGACCGGCACTAGGTTGATTTATGCTACCAGATTTTTTGTGAAAAAACTATAAGAAAACTAAACACACCGGAATTCCTTTTCGTTTGCGGGTCGAACAAAACACACGAGGTAAAACAAGGATAGCCTGTTGCTGTGCAAGTAGCAGAGAGTGTTCTGACCGTAGTCTTAAAAAATGTTCAAAAATTTTTTCAAATAAATGTGTTTTTTTTTTCAGTGGTGTGATAAAAAAATCTGAAAACTAAAAAATAGAAATTAGACAAATCCGACAGTCATAGTGAACTAAGCGAATTGGAAAACAGTTTTGAAGAAAAATGGCCAGAGAAAAATCATTAAAACAAATTTAAAAATCTTCGAAACACTTTGTAAATAGTATTTTTGTAGACATTTATTGAATTTCTGCTTGGCAAAATGTCGCTAAAATACTCCAAACACTAATTTTACTCGAGTAAAACTAAGTTTTCACGACTTAATTTAAGCGTAAATAAGCTATTGTGAGCCTGCACGCTCACCTTATAAGCTCGAATTATTTTAAATTAAAAATTCAAACTGGTTTTTCTCGACACAAAGCACATTTTCAAAATTTCAATTTGAGCGTGATACGTTTTACATTGGTTATGTTCATCGATTCAAAAAGGCTTCAGGTATCAAGTTACATGAAAAACAGGAAATTTGAAAAACCAAATTTGATTTTCACTACTTGGGTTTAGTGTTATGTGAGAAACAGAAATTCTGGTCAAAAGTCTTTTCTATAGGCAAAAAGTGAATTCATATTTTAGAAATTGGATCATATTATCCTCGATTACTATGAAAAGAAAATTAGTTTCAAACAGAATGCAAAACAGACCCTCGAAGTTCTGGCTTTTCTTGGAAACGAGGCTCGCTTGATCAATTTTTTACAACGAGCATTAATTATAAACAAAAACCTTTGTGTTCATTATTAAATACGGAAAAAAAATGCAGTTCAAAATACTAACTCGTTCCTGGAAACCGATGCACGATATCAATGACAATACTCCACAAGTCGAAGGCCAATTTTTTCATCAACTCATCGCCGGCGAACAGTGTTCGGTGCACCAACAACAATCTATTCAGCGCCTTTTTTAGGTTCATTTTTGAAATCACATCTCCGAAAGTTTCATAGAGGAACTTCAGCCAATGGAAAGTGAGAAAATAACATTTTGTTTCGACTAGATCTTGAAGCATCTCGTTGCAAATATATTCCGCTGCTTGACTTAGATTTGACCTATCTTCAACTTGTAAGATTTTGCTTTTTAAAGTTTCTATCGCTTCAAAAGGGACTTCTCTCTTTGCTACTGAATCATTGAAAATACTGAGTATGTAATCATTCGATTGAACCATTTTTTCTAAAATCTTCGGCTGTTTTCAAATTTGGGAGGTGTAATAAATCAATCGAACTTAATCAAAAGATACTGGGAAATAATAAATTGTGGATAATTTACAACCATACATTTTGTCAACAATTTTGTGTCATACAGAAATACAAATACTTCAGAAAATACCTTTTGATAAAATTTTTAGTGATCTAAACCGAAGGTGAATTGCCATCACTGAATAGCTTAAATCAATTTTATTGCTCCTGGAAAAACGATTTACATAATTGAACTTTTTCGCACTAGAATACAATTCACATTACCTCAAAATTACTAACGACACCTTCAAACTTGATGAAATTTCCAATCCATAATTCCAAAGTGCTCAGAAAACTCCAAATTTGCCAAATGAAGTGGCTTTTATACCAAAATGAGACTACAAATGACCCTTCAAATATCAAACACTTCTTTTGAGACATGAAAATATATCACATTGAGTTACAAAACTGAGGCGCCAATCAAATCAAGTCAGTCACAAAGTGTGGAATGTTCTTTTCAGTGTCTTCATCGTTCTTCATATTCTGTGTGTTCTGGTAATACATAAGTGATATCGTCCCAAGGGTGTCTGTACAACCCTTGCTTCAGCCTCTTCTGGTCTAGGAAGTGTCCGATGAAGCCCACACTTCGGCCCAAAACAAAAAGCCCATTTAACACTCCAATATCAATGAACTCCTGAGCTTCTTCCCTCGTGAAACAGCCACAGAATCGCATCAGGTCAACAAAGGTCACTGCTATGACCCCATCCACGTTCAAAATCAAGTTCGGTTTCTTGGAAGTCGTGATTTTTTCCACCTTCAGAGCGTACTCCAACAGAGGCGTAGAGGGGAAATGAGCCTTGACATACTCTTTTATAATTTCAGTTCTCTTGTCAGGGTTGTTCAATGATTTGACCCTGTGTCCTATGCCCATGATGAGCTGACCTTTCTTTCGCATGTTGTTCACAAAATCGTTTGGGTGTTGACCCTGAAACAAAACCATTTCAATTTCCAAAGATCGAATTTTTTTTGCACTACCATTATCTCAAATCGATCACAGAATTTCTAAAATCTCAAATCGATCGGCCGGGTGGGTAAGACGCGAGGCCTTTACAAAAAAGATCGTGTGTTCGAATCACTTCGGTCATGGTTGGATGCGTTTTAGTGTCATCCGCCTCCTCAAGGTGGGACCGGCTGCGGCAAAATGGATGACACCCCCCCTGGAATATGAAAGGTCCAAGGTTGAAAGGTGGGAGCTGCTCGGGGGTTAATAAAAAAATGACTATAAGCTCAAAATATCTATGAGCATTACAAAGTCATCCGGTCTAAGAAAGAAAAAAAAATAGAGAAAATTTTAAAATCAATCACGGGCAGCTAAACTCGATCGCAAGCGACGCGACGCGACGTAACAATTAAATTCTGCGTACCGAGTCATAAGCTTCTGTGAACTGCTTGGCAGCCAAATCCAGAGCACCTCCGAATCTCTCTCCGATAGTCAACAAGCCACTGGTCAAAGAAGATACCAGATCTTTTCCCGCTCTACTACACACAATAGTGTTATGAGCTCCAGAGACTGCATGGTCGGCAGTCACCATCAGACATATTTCCAGGTACTTGAAAGCGTATTCCGGCAGCCGTCTCTGGAACCAAAGGAGTCCCAGTACACCTCCGATACCGAGGTTCTCGTCGATGATCGAACTAAATCAAAACATTCCACGGTAAATAATGCAGGTTATGAAAACGGCTGATCTATATCAAAAACATGTTTCATACTATACAGAATAAATATATATTTCTCAATGAACTTATCATCTCTTTATCATCAAAAGCCGCGTTTATCATCATAATCCAGGATATCATCGATATCAATCGCTATGATACAAATTTCTTTTAATGATTGGCAATATCTGTGACCCTCAGCAACTTACTCGATCGAAAAACAGTTCTTTGTAAATTAATTAGACACTTTCACACTGTTTTACTTGTGAAGATGAGTACCAATAGCTTTACTTCCCATGTCAAGACGAGCAGTCTTCGGTTAAATTCTTTGATTCAGATTGGTTAAACGAAAAAGACAGAACCAATAATTTGGGATTACATATAGATACGAACATCATCTCCTTACCTGATGGGCATTCCGGCGTACATGAGCTCGTCTCCCCTCTCGTCACAGATGGAACTCATGAAGCTGGCTGGCTTCCGGATCAGACCCAACTCCCTCGCCCACGAGTAGTCCATCGGCACTGTCGGGGGAGGCATCTCGGGCAACACCTACAAAGCACGCAAAAACTAAAGCACGGAAGACAACAGACAAGCACAAAATACCACGGCAAATTGAAATCTTTAATTCAGGTAAACACAGAGTCTAAACTAAGCGAAAGAAAATCTAAAAGCAGCTTCACAGAATTGATTTTCTGAGTGACAATTTTATCAAATTTTACTTCATTTTTTCTTCGGTTCTTATCAAAACATGCCTCCTAAAGATGCATCAATTGGTATTTTGCGCTTCGCAAACACTAGCGAGATCACGAAACGTACAAGAGGGAAAGTAGAAATAAGCCTCGAATTAGTAAAAAAAAACAATTCTGGGGTTTCGGGTTCAAACCTACTGCGACCTAGAGATTATGAGTCACACGAACTAACTAATCAGCCACGGACGCTTAATAAATGACACAGACTGGCCACAAATAAAGCAGAAAACAGATGCTATGTAATTTTCAATTGTACGGTGAAATTTCCATATAAGTGAACACTTTTTATGTGCGAGTTAGATTAGAAAAGAAGAAGGTTTGTACTAATACACTAACCCTAGCAAGCTCGCTAGTGTGATGATAAAAACAATAAAAAATAGAAGCCGACCTAATTTATCAGAAATAAGTGAAGGAAAAATTACAAGATTACTCTTACGAAGACAAGTAAGACATACCTTAATTTGGCCGCTTTCCACAAACTCGTCATAGACAGCCTTGAGTTCATCTCCGAGTGAGTCGAAGCTATCGGGTACTCTACAGCCAGTCTCCTTCAAGAACTTGTTCTTGGCCATCGCCGTCTCACTGTCATTGTGTGCAGAGGCGCCTGAAAAAAACAACAAGAGGAACAATTTGAACATCCCCATAATTAAATTTTAACTTTGAACAACTAGTTTACCTATTTCTATTGTAGTGAGATTTTGCATCACACATTTGCTGTTCATATTTTCCAAGAAAGAAGCACGCATTTAGCCAAAACAGCATTAAAAAGTAGTTGAAAATTTGTCCAAGCTCCGTTCACAGGCCGTAAAACAACACAAGATCCGGTGATATGAACAGAGCTGCACTTTAAAGTAGTTAATTAATGCATTTTGTTATCAAATGTTCTATGATTTCAGTTATAGAAACATTTACACAGAGCCGAAGCTTCGCTTCGCAAACACTTGCGAGAACACGACAAAAACAGCTCTATAAAGTGCAATAATAAAAATTAGAAATAAGCCTCGAATAAGTAAAAAAAAAATACGCACCCTCCGAGATTCAGACCAGCGACCTAGAGATTAAGAGACTCGCACACCAAAACTCAGCCACGGAAGCTTATATACGTGCATACATGGGAGCTTATATATTAAAGTGCATATATACCTAAGTGCATCAAGAACTTTTTCTGAGAAAAAAAAAACAAAAAAATCAGCAAGACCTATATAAGAGTCTTCACTACGTTCATAACTCTTATATAATCAAAAATGTCGAAAAAACTAAATCTATCATAATGAATAAGCCAAGTTTTGAAACAAAACCATGCCGAGACAAAAGAATGTGAAATTAGCATCAGAAGGTAATTTACCAAGCGGTATCAAATACCTTGGCAGAAACCTTTAAAGCCGAAAAAAAATCAACAAGATTTAAGACTTATAAAAAGTCCCCGTCGCCCTCGTAACACTCAAAACACATTATTTGCTCTTCAAATGAAACAATATGAGACAACTAAGTCGATATAATATAGTCCGAAACCTACGAAGCCTAAAAGAAAAAAAATTTAAAAAAAAAAAAGACTAATAAGAAGTTATTAATCCCCCCTCGCCCTCAACACACAGACACACATACTTTTTTCGCTCGTCGAAGAATGCAATATGAGGCCGATATATTATAGGCCGAAACCTATTTAGCCGAAAAAAAGAAAAAGCGATGAAAAAATTGTTATCAAAATTTTGAATTATAGTTTCTATTATGTTTAGTACCATTTTGTTCAATCCACAGATGAGCATAAAAAATATGTTTCCACTGAAACAACTCGAAATTACGTCACTAAGCCGACAAAATATAGGCCGAAATCATTTGGGCAGAACAAAGTTTTTAATAAAAAACAAAAGAAAAAGAAATATATACGATGACAAGGTTTAAAAAATTACAAAGAAACAGCTGAGGTAAATCAGAATACTAAAAGCAATAATATTGTAAATATATTCTATAATTCAAATAACAGATTTAACCGGATGAAAAAAAAACAAAGCGAAAACTAAGCCGACAAAAAGTAAACCGCAAGCGATGAAATCGAAAATTCAAAAAATACTTAAGAAATATCATGTAAAAAAATTGAACTGCGAATTTATTGGAAAAACACTAATAAGGACGCACAGTGACAGTAACAGACTAATAAGCACAAATATACGACACACATACTGCATGCTGAAATCTGTGGACAAAGTTGTTTACGCGAAAAAGTCTAGTAACCGATTGCAATACCGTTGCTATCGCAAGGGTAATCCATTCTCTATTGGTTTTAAATCAAATAAACTTATCAATTAAAGAAATGAGTTAAAATTTTGGTTAAACAAAATCGAACCAATTTTTTTTGTCAGCTTGAGATATAAAAATTAAGTTCGGCTTTTGCATTAAATAAACATAATTTTTTGCACCATTTCCGATTTCCTTATTTCAAAATTGAAGCCCTTAATTAACAAAAAAAAACTAATACGCGTAATAAAATAAAGTACGCAAACATATTTTTACTAATAAAACATAGTCCGCCCATTAAATTTGACACTGAAACAAAGAAACTAACCTGCGTGTCCAAACTGAACATCTGAGTTGAACATGGAGGCACAAGTACCAATACACCAGGCCACAATTGGCTTCGAGATCTTCCCCTCCTTCACCAAATTACCCACCACGTATTCCTCCACACCGCCCACCTCTCCCAACATCACTATGATCTTGATGTCTGGATTCTGCTCGTACCGCAAGATGTGGTCCAGAAACGTCGTTCCAGGGTACCTGAAACAACATACAGTGAATATCTAATAAACAGTTGCAAAAATAGCAATGAATTCTGAAATGAGAAAAATACAAGCCTTAAAGCTCTTTAAACTTCAAGAATAATTCATTTTTGTCATAAACTAACCCTATTTTAACAAACTGGATCAAGGTTATTTACTTTATTCCACTGGGGAAACATAGAAATTAAATCCACTTTCGAAACTACAAGTCATTCACGTTTCTTCTCGCCATTTGCACTTTTGTAATTAATGAGCGTTATTTGCCTCTTTGTCATAGCAAATAAATTTGAGTTGAACCTAACAAAGAAATTAGAAGTCAAACAAAAAAATATCAACTTTGAGCCTCATTGACACGACTTTTTATGATAAATTTTATGGCTTTTCCCAGAAAAAAACATCAACACAGCCTAAACAGGTACTTCACTCGTTCACTGGCATTTAACAATGGAACTGAAAAAAGTAAATAGCCAAATAAATGTTAGTACGATCTGACAAACCCTAATGATTTGAAGGGAGTTCATAATGCGTTCGTAATGAGGCTCAACTTGCAACCATTTATTAAAACTAATTTTTTTCATAATAAAATCATAAATTTTCATCCCATGCTATTGTTGTTTTAGACCAGCTAAAGAGATGCTCGTTCTCAAACTTAAAAAAAACTTGAATAAGATTTTAAAATTCAACGGCAAGCGCCTTGTTCAAATGTGTTCTAATTAAACTGAAGTTTTTTCTTTCGTTTTAATGTTGATGATTCTCAAACAGAAACACGGATTCTCAAACAGAAAACTGCAATAAATTTTTCTTCTCAAAATACCATTTACTTCATATTGAGAAGTGCATGCAAGACTGCAAGCGATCAGACGATGGTCGCGAAAGCATTTTATTGGCTAAAATCATCGTGCGTATTGCACACCCCGCTGACGAATTGATTCATCCACAGTTCAGATCACAATTTAAAAGCATGAAAAATAAGCAAAGAAGATATCGGTCAGCATAAAATTCATGTTTCGTCCAAATACATCTGGTATTTGATTTTTCAACAATTTCTCGTGAAATTACATGACAAACTTTCCTTTGGCTTTGAAGCATCAAGCTTCGCCCTTTTGGTTTGTATAAGTCAAGGTCAGCATCATCAAACCCCTAAACTAAAAGGCCAGGCAAACTGTTTAAATACATTTAGAGTATTATGACTTCTAAGCAGAAAGTATTTTGTCGCAGATCCTTCAGTCCATTGACCGATATATCTGAGACAAACAGCCCCTTCAAGGATGCAATTTTGAAAATCGAACCATATTGCTTAATGCTTTAAGACTTCAATCAACTCAGATATAGATTAAGAAATGTTTAATATCGTGTCAACCTTCAGAACTGGTCAAATCTGTAGAAGTGGACACTTCATCTTCAAATCCCAATACAAATAAAATCATTTGTATGATTTAAAATCATAAGTGCTGTTATTGGGGTATCCCTCATGCATGACCAAATGCCCGAAGATTACGTCATCCAATCAGAACTCACTATTCAAAAACTCAACAGAAATTAGCTTGAAATCCAGTAACTGTTCTCAAATTTAAAGCAGGTTATTTATTAAGTAATTCGGCTATTCGGCCATTAGAAAAGCCCCTTGTTATTATGTTAGAAAATGAGTCATCCACCGGTTTGAGCTGTCATACCCTGCCATGCTAGGCTCTCGTGATCACCCAGATGCTTAAATTGAATCAAAATGATTGGTTGAATTTAGAATAATTTTTCGTGGACTGTTGACTTAAGTGCTTTATTGATAACAACCTGCTTAGCTAAAATACAAGGCAGACCAGATCATGATGAAGTCAAACTGGATTCTTTCAACTCTTAAACGAACACGACGCTTAAATGAAGCCTATTCTCTTTAAAACTTTTCAAACACAGCTTTTTTTAGGATCCCTCCGACCGTGACCGAAATGGGATTCGAACTCACGACCCCCAGATTAAGAGCCGCACGCCTTACCCACTAGGCCACGGCCTCTCAAGAATAGTATCTCTCACCTGTCGCCTCCGATTGCCACTCCCTCGTAGACCCCATTGGTGTTCTTGCAGATGATGTTGTTCAGCTCATTGGACATGCCCCCACTCCTAGACACGTAAGCCACACTGCCTGCCCGGTAGAGTTTGGAGGCGACCACGTTGTCAATCATGCCTCCAGTATGCCCAATCTGAAAAACATTGTTAACTTTTCTTTTTTTTTTCTTGACTTTTACACTTTTGCAGTTCGATAGTAGAGTTTGCCTTCCTTTCAACAGAGGAAATGAAGTGAACTTAAAAAGAAATCAAAATTTAAACTGCAGGAAATAAAATTTGAGCCTGAACAAATTTGATGACTTTTCGTAAAAAAAATCATCACGACCTATCTAAGAGTCTTCACTACGTTCATTGACTCTTAATAATATTCAACAACAATTTATTCCTCTAATTGTCACTGGTCTATTAGAAACTTCATATAACATCGACAACGAGATTGTTTCGGTTTTATGATAAAAAGTATTCCCAGATTTCCCAACTGCAACGAGCTTGAGTTATAGCCAAAAAATATATACCCGTCTGTCAAGTGAAATATTGTAATTAAGGAAGGGAAGGTTTTTTGAGTGTTTGTTTTACGTTCACATTGTGGCTGATATTTTTTTCTATGGTGGTTGGCTTACCTGTGGTAAGACTACGGAGAGAGAGAGAGAGAGAGAGAGAGAGAGAGAGAGAGAGAGAGAGAGAGAGAGAGAGAGAGAGAGAGAGAAGGGGGAGTACAATAGCGGTTCACCGCGAAAATCTAAACAGCTCGACTGACAGTACTTTCACTCGTGCTAATTGTATAAACTTAATAACGCTCATACATTATATCGGTAAACATCAGGAAATGGTCTTTAAAATCAACTTCTTTAAAATGTGAATGCGCTTTAATTAAGTGGATATTGCTATAGCTCATGCTGTTCATATAACGTAAAAACTTCGCACACACTGTGCATTGAAATATATGATTTTACTAGACAAAACTGGGCAATTTTCGGTAATTTTGAAAATCGAACCATATTGCTTAATGCTTTAAGACTTCAATCAACTCAGATATAGATTAAGAAATGTTTAATATCGTGTTAATCTTCAGTTAAATATGGTCGAATCTGTAGAAGTGGACAGACAATTCATCTTCAAATCCCAACACAAATAAAACCTTATATATGATTCAAAATCATTGGTGCTGTTATTGGGGTATCCCTCATGCATGACTAAATGCCCGAAGATTACGTCATCCAATCAGAACTCTGTATTCAAAAACAGAAATTAGCTTGAAAACCAGTAACTGTTCTCAAATTTAAAGCAGGTTATTTAGTAAGAATTTCGACTATTCGGCCATTAGAAAAACCCCTTGTTATTATGTGAGAAAATGAGTCATCGACCGGTTTGAGCTGTCATACCCTGCCATGCTAGGCTCTCGTGATCACCCAGATGCTTAAATTGAATCAAAATGATTGGTTGAATTTAGAATAATTTTTCGTGGACTGTTGACTTAAGTGCTTTATTGATAACAACCTGCTTAGCTAAAATACAAGGCAGACCAGATCATGATGAAGTCAAACTGGATTCTTTCAACTCTTAAACGAACACGACGCTTAAATGAAGCCTATTCTCTTTAAAACTTTTCAAACACAGCTTTTTTTAGGATCCCTCCGACCGTGACCGAAATGGGATTCGAACTCACGACCCCCAGATTAAGAGCCGCACGCCTTACCCACTAGGCCACGGCCTCTCAAGAATAGTATCTCTCACCTGTCGCCTCCGATTGCCACTCCCTCGTAGACCCCATTGGTGTTATATAAAAATATATATACCCGTCTGTCAAGTGAAATATTGTAATTAAGGAAGGGAAGGTTTTTTGAGTGTTTGTTTTACGTTCACATTGTGGCTGATATTTTTTTCTATGGTGGTTGGCTTACCTGTGGTAAGACTACGGAGAGAGAGAGAGAGAGAGAGAGAGAGAGAGAGAGAGAGAGAGAGAGAGAGAGAGAGAGAAGGGGGAGTACAATAGCGGTTCACCGCGAAAATCTAAACAGCTCGACTGACAGTACTTTCACTCGTGCTAATTGTATAAACTTAATAACGCTCATACATTATATCGGTAAACATCAGGAAATGGTCTTTAAAATCAACTTCTTTAAAATGTGAATGCGCTTTAATTAAGTGGATATTGCTATAGCTCATGCTGTTCATATAACGTAAAAACTTCGCACACACTGTGCATTGAAATATATGATTTTACTAGACAAAACTGGGCAATTTTCGGTAATTTTGAAAATCGAACCATATTGCTTAATGCTTTAAGACTTCAATCAACTCAGATATAGATTAAGAAATGTTTAATATCGTGTTAATCTTCAGTTAAATATGGTCGAATCTGTAGAAGTGGACAGACAATTCATCTTCAAATCCCAACACAAATAAAACCTTATATATGATTCAAAATCATTGGTGCTGTTATTGGGGTATCCCTCATGCATGACTAAATGCCCGAAGATTACGTCATCCAATCAGAACTCTGTATTCAAAAACAGAAATTAGCTTGAAAACCAGTAACTGTTCTCAAATTTAAAGCAGGTTATTTAGTAAGAATTTCGACTATTCGGCCATTAGAAAAACCCCTTGTTATTATGTGAGAAAATGAGTCATCGACCGGTTTGAGCTGTCATACCCTGCCATGCTAGGCTCTCGTGATCACCCAGATGCTTAAATTGAATCAAAATGATTGGTTGAATTTAGAATAATTTTTCGTGGACTGTTGACTTAAGTGCTTTATTGATAACAACCTGCTTAGCTAAAATACAAGGCAGACCAGATCATGATGAAGTCAAACTGGATTCTTTCAACTCTTAAACGAACACGACGCTTAAATGAAGCCTATTCTCTTTAAAACTTTTCAAACACAGCTTTTTTTAGGATCCCTCCGACCGTGACCGAAATGGGATTCGAACTCACGACCCCCAGATTAAGAGCCGCACGCCTTACCCACTAGGCCACGGCCTCTCAAGAATAGTATCTCTCACCTGTCGCCTCCGATTGCCACTCCCTCGTAGACCCCATTGGTGTTATATAAAAATATATATACCCGTCTGTCAAGTGAAATATTGTAATTAAGGAAGGGAAGGTTTTTTGAGTGTTTGTTTTACGTTCACATTGTGGCTGATATTTTTTTCTATGGTGGTTGGCTTACCTGTGGTAAGACTACGGAGAGAGAGAGAGAGAGAGAGAGAGAGAGAGAGAGAGAGAGAGAGAAGGGGGAGTACAATAGCGGTTCACCGCGAAAATCTAAACAGCTCGACTGACAGTACTTTCACTCGTGCTAATTGTATAAACTTAATAACGCTCATACATTATATCGGTAAACATCAGGAAATGGTCTTTAAAATCAACTTCTTTAAAATGTGAATGCGCTTTAATTAAGTGGATATTGCTATAGCTCATGCTGTTCATATAACGTAAAAACTTCGCACACACTGTGCATTGAAATATATGATTTTACTAGACAAAACTGGGCAATTTTCGGTGAAAAAAATCAAGAATTTGGTTCACTCCTATTATGCTACTGTGTAAAAAAATTGAATACTACAGAAATAAGTGTACTTTGCTTGTTTTAACATCAGTTTATCTTTACAAAAACTTTATTAAAAAGGATTCGGGACTGACCTTGAAGCATCCAGGTTTGATTCCGCCGACGGTGGCTGGGCCGATGATGCGGACTCCCTTGAGCTGGGCAAGTTTGATCAGTTTCCTCGTCTGGTTCTCCGGGATGCCCTCTGCGATGATGGCCACTGTCCTAATCTGGGGGAAACTCATGGCCTCCACTGCACTGTCGTACGCAGACCTACAATTTTTAAAAGAATAATAATAAAACCCGTAATCTAGCTTTTCAAGGTTTGAAACATTCCATGAAAGGTTTAGAGCATAGCTCAAAAAATCAACTTAAAAAAAGAGAATCAGCCCTCTAACACGAACTACATTCGAGAAAAAAAGCTTTTTGATCATTAAAACCTGTTATGAAACTATGGTCCGCAACAGTTTAAACTTTCTTTCTTTATGCCAAAGATAACCAAAATCTGAATGATAAGCATGCACAGTTTGTCCAAAATGATCTTATAGGGTATTTCAGAACAGCAGACTTAGGCCATATAATGCTTTAAGGCAAAGCACACATCTCTCCGTAAAAATTTGATCTTAGATCAAGCAATGAAACTCAAATGTCTCCACATATGCGATATAAAGCAATAGCAAACTACCAAAGAGACTTATAGAACAAAAGATGCAGGCAAATATTAATTTTACGAAATTTGTGAATTTCATCACCAGTAAATCTAGAATGAAACCTAAAACTTTTGAAAATAGGAAACGTAAACACAGAGGCGAAGCTGAGCTTCGCACTACTTGCTATACAAATTTGACTAAAATCAAGCGGGAATTTTTTTAAAAATAACTAAATCGTTTTTGTAAATAAAAAAAATTGTCAAAAAAATCGGTCTTAAGCAGTTGTGTCACCTCTACCCCCAAGTGCACCAGATGGTGGCTTGACTTTGAATTTAAAGTTACCATGTGGTAACAAACCCGAAAATACCTGAGCAGAAAACTTTCATGCCGAAAAAAAATTAACTAATAAAAAAACCGTATGTCCCTATTCCCCACAGAGCACATGCACGCACACAAAACTTTTTTCGATCCCCGAACGAATCAATAAGAGGCCACTACCTCGATATAAATTAAGCCGAAACTTATTAACCCGATAAAAGTGACAATGAAAAAAAAAATTGACAAATCGAGTTGGTACAAACACTTAAGGCAATTACAGTGAAAACTTTTTAGAGCAAAAAAAACGATTCTTGAATCTGGCAACTAAGCCGACAAAACAAGCCAACAAATAATAGGCCAATTTTTTTTGAACAGGAACATTTACCGTTTTTTTAAAAAAAAAAAACAGGTCATAGTCAGATTCAAACTCGAGACCTTTTGCGTCCCAAGCGTATTCCTTGCCTTCAGACTAAGTGTGCTGGGGACAAAAAGAAATTTGAATTCATAATGAACCAAGGTACCATGAGTCCAGTGGACAAAGTTGTTTACGGGAAAAAAAGTCTACTACCCGATTGCAATACCCTTGCTTATTGCAAGGGTAAAGATCTACATTATCTATAGATTTTTAAAAATGGAAGCCTGCTTTAAGTCTTTTTTATTGAAGAAACCTAAACTGTTATCCTAGTTAGACACAAACTTTCCCAAAAATAAGAAATTGTTAAAAAATCAGCATTTTTTATGAAACGTGTAACATGTGTATTTCACCGGAAGGAAAACCAGAGCACATAAACAAAAAACCAATCATCAATTATAACATCAACTTCAACAAAGAGGCGAAGCTGCAATTTTCAAACATTAGCAAAAAAACGGTATAAAGTAGCTTAACAGCATAAAATTTAAAAACGTGAAAAAAGGCATGAAAAAGTAAAAAAAAACTTTTGTACTAAGCTGAATTCGCACCGCCGACCTGCAGACTATCAGTGGTCGCGCGTCCTCATCTTAACTATAATCGATTCACAATAGACAAACACTATCCACCAATAAGAAGAAGAATTAATTCCTCGATGTAACTTATTTTTAAAATCCGATAAATTAACTCTAAATACATCAGTAACAAAGAGCGAACAGCTAACGAACTCATAAGCTTTTCCAACTGCTGCCCTGATTTTCTTTGAAATCAATTTAGATACAACAGATAAGATCACTTAGATACATAAATAGTCAAGCCTAAATGCAACAGCTGACGAAAAAAATCTTGCCAATGCCAAAAAAAATACACCAAAAGTGTATGTGGCAACATCTAAACAAGTTAAGCACCTATTGAACAATAGGTGGTTCGATTTGAAGGACATTAGCTTTATTGTAGTATAACAAAATGGAGTTACAATGTACAAAAACTATTTCTTTTGCTGAAAAAAAAATTTCGAAACCCGCTAGTTGTAGGCACCTTTGATCGGTTTCATTACAAAAACATGAACTTGCTCACATAGCGGTTACTGCTTCTACTAACTGTGTCTCCTAGAGCCCCGTAAATTATTGAATGGGGTCTTGAGAGTCAGTAGACACCCAAATGATAACTCAATAAAGCAGAAACTTTTAAATTGCCAATACTATGTAACAAAAGATCCACCAAATGAGCACATTTATTTGCGAGTTGCACTGGAAAAAAATGACGCTCAGTATAACAATACGCTCGCTACCTCGAATGTGTAAACATGTGTACTAAAAGCTACAAAAGATGTTCAGTTCAATTTAAAAAAAACATAGGCAAAAAAATACGTGTAATTCTTGCTTGTAACCTAAGAGAGGCGAAGCTGATGAGTGTGTCTGCCTCGGGGTGTTTCCTCATCGCATCTGCCATGTTTTTGTACAGAGGCATGAGGATCTCCTCGTGGCCAAAGTAGAACTTCTGTTTGTGGTCTCCACTGAACGGGTAGGTCATCGCCGCCACTGAGGCACTGCTTCGCGAACAGATGTAGTCGAAGTCTAACATTCCCTGACGAACAAACAAGCTATTTAAATAATGATTAAAATGCAGAAGCAAACAACGCTTCTCAAACCAATAGCCTTTTTTCGCCACTCCTGATCACATGAAAAGTTACAAGAATAAAAGAATAAATGTTGTCCACTAGAGCTGTCAATTAGATACAGGAAAAACATGATTTTCATGCGGCGATAAAATTATCCTGATTTATGCAAGAAAGGTCAAATTACATAAAATACGTTTTTTGTGTGTATATCTTGGATAAACATGATTTCAATAATGCGGGAAAATTAATAAATGATCGAATATGCGGAATATGCGCCGCATATAATTGACACCTCTGTTGTCCACTTGAAATGATAATTGACAGAAGACCTAATTATCAAAAATGAAACATATAAGCTAAGTTATTAATATGAAGTAACCTTCTTTACTTTGTAACTGAAAACAGTAAATTAACACAGAAAAAAAAATTTGTATTGAAAAACGGTAGAATTAAATCACGTTACCAGCTCCGCTGGTCTCACAAACAAATAACTAGACACAAGGACGAAGTGGAGCTGCGCGCTAGTTCCATCAAACTGTAACTTCATTCGAGAAAAAAAAATTTTTTTTTTTTCAAAGTGGCTCTCGTCTAGCTGATTTCATTTTTAAGGTTGTGTTACACAACCTCAAAAATAAAATCAGCTAGACGAGAGCCACTTCGAAAAACAATGAAAATAAAAAGCTATTTTTCTCGAATGAAGCACAATTTGATGAAGAACATTTCAAGAAACACAACTGCAAATGTTATAGTAGTATTCGAATAAAATCTATCGAGCAAAACCTAAACAATTATTTTAAAAATCATACGCTAATTCCATGCTTTAGAATTAAATTCAGGAGGAAAAACGATTCATCAGCTAATTAAATTTTTTCAAGAAAAAAGATTTTCAACCGGCCGGAATAGAAGATATTTTTGTGATTGAGAGGGAAAGTGAAACTCTAGAAATTAACAAAATTGACTTCTTATTGATCAGCACTTACCAGATTACTTCATGGGCTGGGTTATATGGCTGGATACATAAAATTACATTAAACAAGCTTACGAAATAGCTAAGCTCGCTTCGCTAACAAGAAGTTTTTAATTCAAATTAAAGCTCTTTTTATCTACCGTTTGAGAAAACTTAAATCTATCACAGAGGCAAAGCGAAGATTCGCATCAATTTCGATACAATGCAAGCATAGCAATGCATGCTAGCAAACAGAAACGGAAACAACAAGATCGAAAAAAAATTGTCCAAACAAAATTTTTTTTTTGAAAATGAAAAAATTAATTTCAAAAACAGCCAGCAACTCAAATACCAGCATTTAATACGCTTTTACCATTTATCGAGCGGCCACTATACCGTCAAAAAGTGGGTAGACGACCGCTGAGTCGAATAAAAAAAAAGCCGAAACACGAAGGTTATTGTCATAAACAACTTAGATTTTTTTGCACCACAACCGACCTAAATGAAATAAAAATAATTTTTGCCCTACAACCGAAACAAAATAAGTTGACTAAGTCGTAACATCATTACGCCAAAGCCATGAAGGACGCATGAAACTTTCAAGTAGAAGAAAAAAAACAAAAAAAACAGTGCTAGTAAATTTTTTAATTGCAATAGAAACTCAGCAATAGTTGCAATTACAGAGCAAAGTGCTTTCAGCACAAAAAATATCCGTTATGTGTCAAATAAGTCGACAAATTAAGCAGGCAACCAATATGCCGACAATGCAATTTTTTCCGGGAACTGAACCCCAGTTACGGCCAGGACTCGAACCCCAGACCATAAGACGCCAAAGCAACTGCATTACCTCCAGACCAAGTGGAAAGGATACTGGAATCAATATAGGTTCACAGGTAAAGCCAAGTCAATTTCTAAAAAAAATTACGGGGAAAAACACTCTAGTTCCCGATTACAGGACACTTGCTTTTTAAAATAATTTTTAAATGAGTCAAACTATTAACTATTCAATTTTAAAAAAATGTCTTAAAAAGCAAGTGTCCTGTAATCGGGAACTAAACATTTGACTCGCATGTTTGACACAAAAAAACTTTATACCAAAGCTGCACGAAGTAAAGACAAACAAGGAAAAACAAAGAGGAGCTTCTAACATCAAGAAAATGAGAAAAAGCTTTTGTAAGACAAGCTTTTTAAGGGACAAAAATATTCTGATTCTGTACAAGCTGCACTTCGTAAACATAACCGACAAAAGTAAACTCTAAAAAGGTAACATAAAGAAATAAGAAAAGAAAAAGGTAAAAAAGCCTAGTAAAATAAAACTTCTGTTATGTGCCGGAATCAAACCCCTAGCCTCGAGATTCAGATTCACATGTCCTCTAATCTGAGCCATGGAATGTTTAAATTAGCCATTAAAATGTCAGTTGGGTTAGAATAAAGTTTGATTCGTTGTATATCACTACGCTCGCATGTGTAATAACTGCCTGATTTTTAACTACTTTTTGATAAAATTTAGAAAAGGCCCAATTACAATCTGACAGTTTTTGCCAATAATAACAAGTAGATGATGACTTCAAACCATCTGGAGGAAAAAAATGCAAAGCAATTGCCTTTTTCGCCCTTTTCATTCCAATCACTTTACCAAGTATAAGCTACATTTTCTTTCTCAATTTTGACTAAACCAAAGAAAACTACTAGACCGGAGAGGAATTTGCTGACAATTTTGCATTAATTATAGAATATAATTACAAGCAAAAAGTTCGGGCAGACATATATAATTAAAAAGAGCAATGCCCTTTTTCTGACAGTTTTTGCTAGCAAAAACTAATTTTTCAGACAAAAAGAATGTCTCACAGTCACCTAAAGACCGAAAATTGCTCAAAATTTGCAGATTTCTCTTTTTAATTATTTCTGTCTGCTAGAATTTTTGACAACGCTCTATAGATCTGACTTACCTGCACTGCCTTCGGCTGCATGCCCCAAATGATAGAGGTGCTCTTTTCGTCAAACAGAGTGTGGGCTGGAATGTCATCGCGACGTCTCGACTCCAGAAGCGTGTCATCTGCCAACACAATAAATCAACCATACATGTCATGTCGCACACAGATCGAACATTTAATTAAAACGATTTAGTTGACGAGAAATAAAAACAGTCCATTATAAACTTTGAGGACATAAAAGTCAACAAAAATATTCAAAAACGGTAACCTAATTTTTCGGAACCCAATTGAAGGGCTCTGATTATAAACCCAACCGGTAAAGTAGCATCACAAGTGAGCACATTATTGGCAATTTGCGAAAATGTATGACAACACAGAACTTTGAATATTGAATCTGATAATTGTGATTGATGTTGCAGTTAAGAATCGATACACGACAATAAGACAGAACAGCAAGTTTATGAGTGGAGTTTCCTTACCAATGATGCTATTGTTTCTTGATCCACCTTGAAAATAACAATCAATACAGAGATTAATAAGTGTCACACTCTGCTACAAGTATGACAGATGGGACCCTACAAAAGGCTAATAAGTGTCACACTTTGGTACAAATGGGTCCACACAAAAAACAAGCATGGCCGTATGAACGAAGGGTTCAGCCCATCAACATTTTCTGACACAACTACTATAACTGTCTCCACACTTTCTTCAGCGTATTAAACAACTGTGATTAAAATACGCGTTCACTTTCAAATAAAGTATCCACAGTTTTTCCATTTAGTTTTCGCCCTTCAAGGCTGTTAGCGCCTCTATAATATCTTTCTTTATTGTGAAACTATTAGTATCCAAATTAAGAAAACGCAGAAACAAAGCCAAACTGTAGATAATGCAAAAGAAGTTCGGCAGCACAAACAAAAAAGTAGTCCATCTTGAGTAGGAAGGGAAACGAAATTACAAATTGGTTAAGTTACAATTAAAACTGATCTCTGCCAAAATTTGGGTAAATTAGTAGAACACGCGTCACGGGTCTAAACTAAGTGACTAATTGATAAAATGAGAGCTTTTATCAAATGGCTGTTTGAGCCGGATCTTGATTCGAGTAATAAATATAGCTTCTGCTTCATATTCTGTATGCTAATTGAATTGACTGTAAAAAAAAAGTGACTTCAATTACATTTTTTCAGTTCAGTTATTTTAGAACTCTTTTTGACTAATTTTACAAATTTTTTACGAATTCATCAGAAATTATCAGAACTCACTTGCACTTCCGGTTCCACTGGTGACGCTTTTGCTTCTCTTCTTAGACATGGTGGCCGACTGGGACGCTGAACCTAGTAAGAAACTGGCAGTTGCCGTGTCCTGCGTAGGCTTCTTAGGCACCGGCTTCTTTTTCAGAGCCATCGCTACAATAGCCGTCATGTGCGTCTCAGTTCCAAACACGTGCATGTCAATTCCAAGGTCATTCCCAACATCACGCATCACCCTCAGACCTTCCTGGTAATTCGGACCCCCACGTCTGACAAAAATGGCTATTTTATGTTCTGTTAGCTTTTCTTTGTACTCTGTTAACGCTTTAATGATTCCTTTGAACGTCGCCGCCACGTTGGTGAAATTCGCAATTCCTCCTCCGATAATCAACACTTTTCCTTCTTCGTGGTGATGTTTAGTCATTAGTGACAAGACCGTTTTGGCATATTCGTAAGTCTGACCTTCGGTCGGTGCTCCTGAGTATTCTCCGTAATTCGCAAGTTCACTAGCTCCGCCCAAATCACAAATTGTGTCGCTATAAATGACCGAAGCACCGCCGCCCGCAACCATAGTCCAAATACGTCCCTTCTCATTTAGGACTGTCAGTTTCAGAGAAGCTCCACTTTTAGCGTCCAACTCTGCAATGTAGTTTTCTTCTGGAGAAGCTTCGCGGCCAAAAGGAGGCGGGAAAATAACATCACCCCATTGCACTTTACACAAAAACTCTGCGGTTTGGTCTAATTTCGCGGCAAGATCCAGAATAAACACGTTTCCGTTTGTAATTACTAAAGGGTTGATTTCCAAATATGTGAAGCAAAGTTTTCGATAAACTTCGTAAAGATTCAAAATAAACTGGGTTAAAATGGATTGTATTTTAGCAGGTGCTTTTGCTACTAGTTTAGACACATCGGGTACCGTAGACTCTGGATAACTGATGTGTACATCCAGCTTCTGCGCTTTGGAGTCGACATCTCCGATATCTATTCCGCCCTCGTGGAAAAACAGAATGGTGTCTTTGTCACGTGACGAGTGGATACACAGGTAAAACTCCTCCTCCTGTTTATGTGGCAAGAATGGTTCTATTATAAAATTCGTGATTACTCCTGTTGTTTTTCCCGCAGTCACAGCTTTTCCTCGTTTCTCTGAAATCCATTTTTTGACTTCTCCATAATTTCTGTTGACGAGTAGCAAACCCAGTTTTCCTCGTCGTTTGATCAGCTGATCTGGTTTGACAACCAGCTGGTCGGTTAACAGCCACGGGTGTTCTATGGGCAAACTATCGAGGTCTGTTGATTTGTAGACAGCCGCCGCGACACCCTTGTGTAGCGTGTCACTTTGGATGTTACGCGCCAAAATGTCCTTCCCAGTTACCTCGGAAATCGCTTTTGCCGACATTTTGAACCTCTGAAATTGAACGTCAAATTTCGACTCTTTTGTATCAGAACACAACAGTCGACAGGCGTGAATAAACTTAAATGCTCTTAAGTGAATCAGTAAGTTTATCTAGTTCATTGACGAAGACTTTTGTGGTTATCGCGCTTAAATTGTCAAAATCAAATAAGGTTTTAGAGAGATATTGTCAACTCAGTAAGTAACACCGTATCTGTATGACTTATAAATCGACCATGTAGTGATAATCTGACAGTACTCCAAGGTCGAGTTTTATCAGTGATTTTGTAAGTTCTATATGTGAAGGTCGTTGGATGATTAAAACGCGTTTGAAGGGCCTTAAGACATTCCAAATTTGTCTATTTAATAATACTTCTGATGCAAATACTTCTGAAGCAACTACTTCTGTTGAATTATATTTTCAAGATATAATCTGTATAAAAAGCTGCAATATATCTACGGTTTTCCAATGGTACCAATAAACTCTTTATGCGCTGAAAAAAGCGCCGGAAATTTTGGTAAATTTTTATCAAAATGTCCCCAAGAGGGCCAGAAATACAGTGCACTGGATAATTTAATTGAAGGGCTTTTCCAGAATTTTGCCCTCAATCCTTTCTGTCAAGCGTAACCACTCAATTCATGGAGCACTAATGAAAGTCTCTTTCGCTTTGACTTAAGTTTCCATTGTGGGGCGAATTTAATTTAATCTCTCTTTCATGGCCGATGGCATCAATTTGATGGTAACAAAGAGAGTGGTAGATTAGAGCACGGTTTAAAGAGACCTTCTTTTTCCATCCAAGAAGACATCTTTTTGTTCCATACGCCCCGTTAAAAAAAGTGGAGTTAATTAGAAACTGTAAAACACAATAGCAGAGCTTGAACTATATGGAAAACAGCAAATTTTAAACTGTGAATTCAATTCAGCTGAAACAAATATTGATAATCTATATTTGTGAGATTTCTAACTACTTTCGGTAAAAATTATTTACAATTAAAACACTAGACTATACATATTAAATTCAAGCATTTTAAAATGAGCAAACAAGTTGAAAGTCTTTTTAGTGTCTTATTTTTCTAGTATTACAGCAAAACTTGCATTCCGTTTAGCAAAATTTGCAATGAATTGGCAAACTGCGATATAGCTCATTTATTTTCAAAAAATTTTTCCATTCTTTTCCAAGTGCAGACTAAGCCATTCGTCAACACATTATGGTTGATAAATCCTCATTTGACAAAATCAAACCAGGCGAAGTAATCCTTTTTTTTCACATGGGAAATATCGGATTTTTTCAAATTTTGCCATCAGATAAAATCATAAACTCAAAAATTTAAGACGTTTTCTTCTAATTAGGATGACAACGAAAAAAAAAAATTAAGTTTCAAAACCTGAAAATCTTGTCAATTTTTTTTTTCAAAAAATACCAAATTTCACAATAACTTAATTGCCTGCATTATTACAGAAATTGTCAAACGATTTTGAATAAGAGTTTCCAGGCTGGGTCAATAAAAAACCATTTGCGGGCAAATGAGTTATCAGATGATACGCAGGCAAACTATAATTTTTTTTTCAAACAGAAAATTCAAAGCTTGTAAAACCAGGTCCTGGTCGGGTTCGAACCCTTGACCTTTTAAAACCCAGTGTGACATCCCTTCATGATGTCATTCATTCTATATTAGCCATTCTAACTTAATAGATTACATAATTCACCTTGATGTTAAAATAGAGCTGCATCATATATTTACTTAACTATGTAAACATTGATGGTAATTAAGACCAATCATTGGAGATTTATACCGAGCTACTAATCAATTGGGTAGACTTGAAGAGAATAAAATATTAGAATCATGCTCTAACTTGCGCCGATCGACTAGCGATATTCCAGAAGTTAAGAACCGAATCCTGCGTACTTAAAAGCAAGATAAGTCTTAACCGCTCGAGACATATAAATTATGGAAACAATCAATAACAATTGATAGCCAGTAGCGCTAATTAATATTCGAACAGCTTACAACATTATCAATAAACGACGATATAGCTGTCCACAGCCATCCGAAGGGACACTATATCACACCCAGGCATATGCATCAACATTGCGCTAAATGCGCAGAATAAGCTACTCATTGTGACATCAAAGGACTCAGTGATTCTGTAAGACAAGCTGTTAACCTCAAGAAAAATGAAAGCACAGAAAAGCGACGTCTAATGGAATTATCGAGTTGCTGAACTACCAAAGAACTTCTTCTGAACTTGCATCTAGTTTTCCTCCATTCAAAAACCTTCCGCAAAACAAGCTAGTTTTTAAATCTTGAAAAACGAAGCTACTGTGATATGACTGTGCAATATGAATGAAGTGACTCAAGGACACTATTCTTTTTTTAACCAGAATAGCATTATTTCTTACTTAATAACAACTTTACGCAAGCTTTACTAGTAAAATAATTTAAGGCTTTCTTTAAAGCACTTCAGATAAACCTATATAACAGCTGCTGCTTAGAAACAAAAACAATTTGAGGTCCAAAACTGAAAAAAAAACTAGCAAAATTTGCAGAAACCTCTTACAGAGCTTTTTGAAATTATCGAGCTTTTGAGCTTCTTAAAAAATTTTTTTGAATTTGCATCAAAAATATCCGCCATTCAAGAACCTTCAGAAAAAACCTGGTTTTTAAACCTTGAAAAGCTAGGCTACTGTGAGATGGCTCTGGAATTTAAAATAAGTGATTCAAGGCCACTATTCTTTTTACCAGAATAGCATTATTGCTTATTGAATAAAAATTGTACGCTTGCTTTACTAGGAAATTAACTTATGCATTGAATACGCTTCAGCTAAGCTGATATAAAAGATGCTGCGTAGATTGCGAAAAACAACTTAGGGTCAAAAACAGGAAGAAAACGAGCAATTTTGTTTCCTCTCATCGTTACACAATGTCACCTAGCTCCAATTTCGCATTTTTTAAAGGTTTCAATGACAAGGAGAGATGTGTGGTATCTTTTGAGCCTGTATGCTTGCCTGCTGGGGGTTGAGAAATTAGACGACAAGCAAATTAGACGGAGGCACTTAAAACGAAATTGTACGGTTTCGTAAAACTGCAATTGTGAGAAAATAGACGAAAGTGAGAGAGATTAAAATTGTTTGCAGACAAACTGCGTGAGAAAAATAATGTCGTTTGCAGACAGTTGATTTTCGGTAGCCAAAAATGCAAAATTTCAAAATAGTTCCGTCGAAATATCGAGGTGGACAAAATCTTATTACCGATGAAGGTTATAGATTTTAAAAAAGATAGCAAAACCAAATTTGGTTGTCATTATCGCTAAGTTATCTCCAATTGCTTCTGAAGATTAATGACACCAATGATATATGATACCAATCGATATGAGATACTGAAGGAAATTAAAAACTTGAACAATAAAAAGTCTACTGGTCATGATGGGATATGTAGTAAAATGGTAAAACTTTCCGCTACTGTGCTGGCTGACCATTCAGCGCATTTTTTCAATATCTGCTTCAAAAAAGAGTGTTTTCCTAATTTTCTCAAAAGTGCAAAAATTCTACAGTTGCATGAAAATGGCGACAAAACTGAACCCGATAACTACCGTCCAATTAGTTTGTTGTCTTCTTGTACAAGTAAACTTTTTGAAAAACTAATTTTCAAGCGCATATCCAATTTTGCCGCTAAAAACAGCTTGATTGATAAGCATCAGTTTGGTTTTCGAAGCTATCATTCCTGTACTATGCCATTTCGTCCATTACTGACTTTTTTTGCGAATCAATTGTTAATAAAAAATTTGGTTACTCCTGCTTTATTGATTTGAAAAAAGCATTTGATACAGTTGATCGGAAAACTTTGCTTGACAAACTTTATCAGTATGGGTTCAGAGGGAAAATTCACAAGTTAATGACAAACTATCTTACAGGGAGAAATCAATATGTTTATTCGAATCAATCGGTATCGGATATGCGAGAATGTACAAAAGGTGTTCCTCAAGGTTCAGTTTTGAGGCCATTTCTGTTCCTTTTATACATAAATGATAAGCCGTCGGCCAGCAACGTTAATTTAACCTTATTTGCAGATGATACAACGGTGGTGTATGCTCAAAAATTTTCATTTAAAACGAAATTCCAGACAGAATTAAGTAAAATTTGTAATTGGTGCAACAATAACAAACTGCTGATTAATCAAAAGAAGTGCAAAATAATGAAGTTTGGACGGGACAACTTAAACGAAAAATTTTCTTTTGGGAATAATGTACTCGCCGAGGTTTCTGATTTTAGGTATTTAGGAATTCAAGTGGACAACAGATTCAAATTTGAAAGTCATATTAATAATGTTTGTGGTAAATTAGTTAAATTTAACGGTTTACTATTCAAGGGTAGAAACTATTTCTCGAAAAATGTGCTAGTTAAATTTTTTAACTGCTATGCAAAGCCAATCATTTCGTACGGTTTAAATGCATTTGGTGCAACATCAAAAAACCTATTAGAAAAAACATTTGTGATGCAAAAACGTATTTTTAAAACTATTTGTTTCAAGAGAAAATTTGATCATGCCTCATATATCCTACATTCGTTTGAGATTGAAACCGTTTTTGACTTATATTTCAGACAAATATTCAAAGAAACTTTTAATCAACTTCAAGGTAAAACTCACCTTGAAACTTTTAATTTGGAATCTCTGAATAATCGTCCGGTTACTCGGGCCTCTGTGGGAAAAACTTTGCCAAGCATGAAAACTAGAACTCAAATTATGCAGCGTTCATGGAAAAATGTGGCTCTTAAATGTTATAATTTTTTGAAATCAAACAAACTGATACCAGATAATCTAAACCAATTAACTGAGCTTCAACTAAATGGGTATTTAAAAAACTTGTCTTCATTGTTTCTTAAATACAATGGAGATCTTATAGATTTATTTTTTTAAATAATCAAGTCGGATATTATCTCGCAACTTCTGTCATAGGTTTTCTCAGGGTCATGCCTCGATAAGCTGCATAGCTTTTTGCATGAACCTTGGTGGGTTTGATTTGTACATGCGGTTTATTGTTTACAATCTCACAATGACAAATTTGAAAATTACAAAAACTATTCGAAAATCAGGCAACCACAGCCACGAACCCGACCTTGTACAACGAGGAAGAAAATTTTCGCCAGAAAATTCTGACTGAAATCCAAAATGATCCGACAAAACCGGTCAAAATGATTTACGACGAGCAAGTTAAACTGAATTCGGAAATCGAAAATCCACCGGAGTATCACAAAATTAGCAGCGGGATACTAGAAAAACGAAATCGAATTTTGCCAAAAAAATCCGATAAATTTACAGAATGAGAAAATAGATGGTATGAGGAGTAAAACGAGCGACAATCAAGATTTTGTGTTGCATCAAGATGTTGGATTAGTGATTTTTTGTTCGATAAAAAACCTGCAATTTTTGCAAAAAAGCCGAAAAATTTTGTTGACGGAACCTTCAAGACTGCACCAAAACTGTTTCGTCAAATTTACACAATATTCAGTGTAGTGCACGATCGCAAAATTCCTTCACTTTGGGCTCTGATGTCCGAAAAAACAGAGGAAGCTTATCAAAATTTGTTGGAAAAAATTGACGAAAAATGTCAAATTTTTTGTCGTAAAATTTTGAACCAAGTATTGTTATATCCGATTACGAGACGGGTTTCATCGCCACCGTGAAAAATTGATGCCACAAGTCGATCATTTGGGCTGTTATTTTCATTATAATCAAGCAGTTTTCCGGAAAATTCAAAATATTGGTCTTATTATTGCCTACAGGAATAATCGTCCATTTCAGTTACTTTGTCGGAAAATTTTCAGCCTAGGATTTTTGCCAATCGACCATGTGATTACAAATTTTGACAATTTAAAACAATCTGGCTTATGCCGAAGACTGAAAATTTTCTTCCCAAAAATTGAAGATTTGGTCAATTATGTCGAAAAAACTTTAATCCTGGAGTTTTTATGTGGAACGTTTATGATAGACCACAAAATCTCCGAACAACAAACGCCTGCGAATCATGGCATGATTCCTGGAACAGACAAATTGGAAGAAACCACCCATCTTTATGAATAGTTGTGGAAGAATTGAACAAAAACGAAAAAATCACAAAAAATGTATACTCAAAAATTTCGAAAGGTGAACCTCCACCACCACAAAAAAAGTGGCGTTTGCTCAATGCCAAAATCCAGCGATTGAAAAACAATTATGAGGAGAATATTATCAGTTTATTTTTTTCGTATTTGTGAAACTTGACTTTAAAAAAAAACATTTTGTTGGCCCTTTCCTTTTTATAGCAGCGACGTCTAAACTGCCAGACCTGTAAAAAAAATTCCACCTAATTTCGTTTTTGTAGCATCCGTCTAATATGCTTATCGTCTAATTTCCTAGGCCCCTTGCCTGCTATAGCAACATACCATATTTCGGTTTTAAGTTAATCTCGAAGGGATACAAAACTACTTAAGTGTAACAAACAACATCTGGTTTAGCATGAGGAGAAAAGGCATTCGAATATATAATATTTCAGAAAAAAATAATAATTCAATTCCAACTCGAAAAAAATCACAAAATCACAAAAGTTTTGTAAGAATGTATTTTTAGGACTACAAAGGAGGAGCTTAATCATAAAGCTTGAAGATATGACTAAAAAAAACCTTGATATTATATAAGAATAAAAGTTTTTTACAAAGGAATTATAATTATGCTGTTTCGTTTTCAGGCTCAATGAAAATTTGAGAGTTCAAATTCTCATCAACCTGTCTAGATTTATTTCTAAAAAGAAATATCAATATGCTCAAAAAATTCAATGCTACTAAAATAGATAATTGAAACAGCAATCCTGTTGACCCGGCGTACAAATAGTTTGCCATTCCCCCAATGCCCTGGAGAAAATTATAAAACACCGTCGCCATTCCAGTTATATTTTCATTTAACCCACCAATTTCGCCAATGATGGCGAACAATTCCGACTGATAAATAGAGTCGGAAGCGCCAATAAGAAACGAGCATGTCAATGCTATGTAGGGGTTAGGAGACGTGTTTATATAGCCCCGATTGTACGAATCCTCGTAGGGGTTGCATCTGGAAGATTCAGAATGATCAAAAAATGAGAAGTATTGAATAAAAGAAACGCAACTAAACATAATCGCATTCTGCGAGACATGCTTGAGCCGTTGGATAGAAGAAATAGTTTAAATAAACCGGATATAACTTCGCCAGCGCCAAATGCGAGACCAGATAGACCTACCATGGCCTTTGAGTCAACTTTGTAATTGTTGAAAGCCAATGTATGCGCGATACTCGTGTTATAAACAGACATAAAACTTTGGCTTAACCCCGTGAATAGAAATATAAAGCAGAGACATGAGAAGTTTACATCTTTTACAAGACCAAAAGCGGTGCCGATAGAACGCTTCAAACTATCTTTTAAATATTGAAAACCGAATGAGTGGCTCTGAATTGACGTTGACATACTATCGACTGGAACTGAAACTAACTGAAAAGATATCACACCCAGAATTGAGAATACAGTCAAACCTGCGACTGAAATAATCCTACTGTTGCTCGTAATATACTCAGCTGAAGATGGCGTTTCAGAAAGTACAATGAAAATATAAAGGCTGCCCAAGCCATAACTCATTTGGGATGCCAGCCAGAAAACTGTTGCATTCAATGCTATATGATCTGGCTCACATGACAACGACAAAAGAGCAAACCCTGTTGACCACAATAAACTGGTGCATACACCCAGTAAAAATGCTAATGAATACACAACAACTGGAATTGGGTAGAAATTTGAAGCCACGAACAGCGTAAATATTGTTGAGCAAAAGAATAAACCTCCTTTGAATCTTAGGAGATCCATCAAAATAGGCGTGAAAATAGCACAGAGGCCGAACGAAAACATGAAAACGGATAAAACAAGATAGCCCGATCCATAGAATGAGTTTCCGTCATTTTTGAAACCTTCGACAATACTTTCTTCTAAATCTGACATAGGGTCAAACGCACTGTACATGAAGAAAAAACCCAAGGATATTATGAAAGTATTTTTAGGAACTTTGCCTCCGAACATTTTGACCTGAAAACAAAACTAACAGGAAAAATCAGTAGCTGTGCAATAGCACATAATGCTCCAACCAAGGTCAAATGTCAAAAAAATTTTCAGGTTTTTCATTTTTGCCGTTTTCTTGAGTAGCCGGAATGGGTTGCAATTGTATAAAGTTCTATAAAGTTCAAATTGTGAGTAAAATTAGGAGTACACAGCGAGTAATTTTACTGTTCTGACTTTCAAAGACAACTTCTATTAAAGCTCGGCGTGGTTAATTTCGAATTAACTTACTCTTCATTATCGAATTAACTTTCGAATTGAAATATTTCTGAAAAAATTTCGAATTAACTTAATCTGGTTCAATTTTTTGGTTCATTTAAAAGATAGCATTTTTCTGAGACTATATATACAAAAAAATATATACTTCACCTGTGATTATTTTTCGTGAAGTTATGGGGTCTGAAAATGGAAAAAGAAGTATTGCTAAAAGCATCAAAATTAACGTTTTTCTTTTTTCATTTTTCAAATAATGTATCGAAACTTGTAACCAAACATTATTTAAAAAAAAACAATTTAAAGGATAGTCGGAACAACCGAAGCCTTGCCTCAGTCCGAAAACAAAACCCGAATTTTCTGGACCAAATTTGAAGTTATGTAAATATGTACACAACATTCTGTTTCTGACTGTCTTAATTGATTTGACATGAATTTTAAACTACTTAAAATATATTTTTAAACAACGCGACTTTTATTAGCAAAATCTCATCCAATAGACAAAATATACAAAAGAAAACTTTAAACAAATCATCTTCCGTTATATAGCTCGATTTTAAACTTATATAAAATTATTTCTGGACAACGTCAAGTTAACTAGCAAGATTATACTGCTTCTGAAAGTACATAGCCAACATAGAGTTGGAAAAGTGTCAATGAACGCTAGAAAAAGAGACTCGACTTGCTTTTTGAAACAAAAACTTCAACTTTCGAATTTCAAAGAACATATATGTCCTTAAATTTCTTCGAATTTTAAGATAAATTTCTGAAAGCCACTACTTTTTAAATTTAATTAATTAGTGGAGTTTGTCTTCTTTTCAACAAAGGAAATGAACCGAGCTTGAAAAGAAACCAAAAGTCAAACGGCGAAGAATTAAAATTCACGTTTTACGCTTCATTTTCACTGTCCTAGCTAATAAAATCAATTTGCCTTCCTTTTAGCAAATGAATTTGAACTAAATTTTTTACAAAATCAAAACTCATACAACCAAATGTCAAATTTGCGCAAGTTCTTGAGGTTTTTCCTGAAAAAAATGAACACGGCCTATAGAAGTCTTCATTACGTTCATTGACATTTAAAAGTTTTAATATAGCACCATGATAGCTTTTGAAATTGAAATTTTTGGCGTTTTTAATTTATTCCTGCTCACTTTCAGATTCACTGAGCAATTGAGAAGTTGAACCTTGATCTGGGTACTGACTTGACTTGTCCCTGAAGAGAAATATTAAAACACTAACGAAATTCAGAGCTGCTAAGATTGAGATTTGGAAAAGCAGTCCAGTGGATCCGGCATACAGAAAAGCAGACATGCCACCTATACCCTGAAGAAAACTATAAAACACGGTAGCCGTTCCAGTGATCGCCTCGTTTGAGCCTCCGATTTCACCAATAGTTGCAAACAATTCTGACTGATATACAAAGTCAGCCAGACCAATTAGAAAAGAACATATGACCGCTATATAAGGGTTTGGCGAAGAAGCAATATACCCTTCTCCGTATGAATCTTGATAGGGAGTTTCATCGGGAAGATTCAATAAAATTAACAAATGCGAAACATTGAAAGTAATAAACGCAGCCACGCATAGTCGCATTCTACGGGAGATATTGGAGCTATTTGATAAAAGAAACACTTTAAACAGTCCAGATAAAACTTCTCCGCATCCTAGAGCAACGCCAGAAAGACCCACCATGGCTTTAGAGTCAACTTTATTGCCATTAAAAGCCAGAGTGTGTGCAATACTTGTGTTATAAACTCCAGTCATAAAGCTCTGACTTAGTCCGGTGAATAGAAATATTACGCAAATACATGTGAAATTTATATCTTTTCCCAAAGCAAATCCAGTTTTAAAAGAACGAAGCAATAGTTGCTTAAAGCCAGCTAAGTCATAAGATCGACGACCTGATGTTATATTCTGTGGTACTGATGCTAATTGAAAAGTGATTAGACCAACTGTTGAGAACAGGGTGAAACCTGAAACTGATATAATGCGACTTTTATTTGAAACATGGTCAGCCGATGAAGGATCCAGGAAGAGCACCACAAAGATATACAGACTGCCTAGGGCATAGCTCAGTTGAGCAGTTAGGTAGAAAATTGTTGCGTTTAACGCTATGTGTTCCTGCAAACATGAGATTGATAGAAGAGCGAAGCCTGTCGACCACAACAAACTGGTACATAAACCAATCAGAACCGCCGAGCTGTACACCACAATCGTTACAGGGTAAATATGTGCGGCCATGAACAATGTAAAGACCACTGAACATAAAAACAGTCCAGGTTTGAAACCGAGCATCTCCATCAAAATTGGCGTGAAAAAAGCACAAACTGCAAACGAAACATTGAAGACAGACAAAACATAATAACCAGATCCGGAAAAAGAATTGCCATCCGCTTTGAAACCCTCAATAATACTTTCTTCAATGTCTGCCATTGAATCAAAAGCACTGTACATGAAGAAAAACCCAAAAGATATTATGAAAGTGTTTCGTGGGACTCTCTGGCTAAACATTGCGGACTCTGAAAAAGCAAAAACCATTTGCTGAACTGAAACTTTGTCATAGTTCCGGAATCTCCAAGACAAAAAAAATAGCGGGCTGCTATGCATGTAGCGCCGAATATTCCGACCATATTGATGTAAAAGCAAGGATAGCCGGTTGCTGTGCAAATAGCACAATGTTCCGACTATATCCTTAAAAACTCATTAAACAAACTTTCCGCGTTTTTTTTAATTAATGTTGTTCTTTGAGCATCGTGTGATGAAGGATCTGACAAAACCTAGAAAACAAGCATTTTCAACAGTCACAAAAAATAGGCACATCGGGCAACAATTTCAGTCAATTAACGACAAAAAAAACAGTTTTCTGCAAAAAAATTCAATTTCTTTTTGCATCAAAGTTTTTGCAATCTACTGAAGCTAAACTAAAGTTTCATGACATATATTCTAAGTTAGACTTCTCGCTTGCTTTTGTTTGCTCGAAATTTCACGCCAAATTTTCTCGACACGCGACAGCTTTTGTCGCGCGAATCCGCGCTGAACGTGCTTGAACAGGGCTGAGCGGACTTAAGTTACGATATTTCCAGCTATTTTTGATGGGTTAATTTTATGACCGTCGTTTTCTTTCTTCTTCTGATTGTTAAGTATTTTACTACCGAAGACCATCCATCTTCGTTTACCCATCCTTGTTTCACTCCTCTTTCCTTATCTACTTTGCTTGAGATGTTCTTCGGGTGAATTCCCGGCTCTTTTCAAGTTTCCCCCACCTTTCAAAAAACTGAGTTTTATGTTTGTTTTACGTGTTATTACGGCTAAATACGTGATGTAACGCTGTAAAGTATGAAGAACAAATCTGTTCACAGTTGTTGATTTGTTCACCACGCCAAATTTCATTGCATTATGACAAGGTTAAATAAGCTTTTCAAAGTTGAATTTGAAAAGGGGGGAACTGGAAAAGAGCCGAATTCCCTTAGGTCCCAATAATCATAGCACACAAAATAAACAAAACTGCTCGTATCAGGGCGAAGCCCTGAATGTTCCGACTGCCATTTAAGTTTTATGGAGCATTAAAAACATAAAAAAAATTAAATGAAATAAAAAAAAAACGATTTTTTTTTATTTGAATTTTTTTATGAAAATCATCCCCCCACACGCCATATTAAGTACAAAAGGATAGATTTCGTTCCATGTAACAAATAAATTATGGCAAATAAGCTTCGCTCAACCAATTTGGAACGATTTCTAAGACGGATTAAATCTCCGCTTACGCGTTAATAGCGCGAATTATATCAAAATGGCCAAAATTGCAATTTTTAAACCCTCATAGCTTTACGAAAAATGATCACAGGTGAAATATCTTTTCAAATTTAAGCTCAGGACAACAATACCTTTTGAATGATATAAAAAAATTCCGTCAAAAATGGCTAGTTAAAAAGTCGAAATTTGTCTGAAAAAAAAACCCACCCCGAGCACAAATATTCCGTTAATTTCGTATCGAAAGCCGGAACAAAAATCAGTCTAATAAATCTCAAAATTTATCTTCTTGAATTCTGATTGATTGAAATTTGAGCCAACAAATTTATAGATTGATTGTTTACTGTTCAAACAGCATAAACTCAAGCTGCAGAATAGTGACCGCCGGAGCTTGCCAACAGAGGGTAGGACTCTATACGAAATTCAGGGCCAAATTCGCCGCAAAGCGGCGATGAGCGCGTGGCGCGCCCACCGACGTTGAACCAAGACTCAGCTAAATTAGTCTTTTGACCAGTTGAAAAAAATTGGACCTTTTATGACTGCCTTTTTATATTGGGACATGAACACGCACAGTTCATGGCGTTTATTCTAGCCTTATTGATATCTGTTCTGAGACGTTTTATTTGAAAGAAACTAATGGTCCAGAAAAAAGCACGAAGCTTGGTCCAGAAAAAAGCACGTTTTTGGTCACAAGAAACCCCAAAAAAAAATCAATTACTATGTCATTTCCCCGAAACTTTTTAAAGAAATTTAACGCTCCGTTGTCATAAAAAATGTCCACAAAAGCACGCACCAGTTCTCAAATTAATTTTCATTTCAAATTTCATGTCACCATTAGAGGTGGGATCAAAACTTACTCCTTATTAATTTTTGTTTCAAATTTCATACCACCATCAGAGGGGGAATCAAAACGTACTCCTTATTATACAGCCATAAGGATTTATCCTCACGTGACACGAAGCAAAACAAAAAACACAATTTGATTCTTTCTATCAGTTGAAGCCTCCTCCTACCTCCCACCTTCAGTATCCTGGACAATGTCCACAAGTCTTCTTTCTTTCCGCCTTTCTCCTGGTGATGATTTTCTGTTTGTGTTAGATCGGAATTTAGAAAAACTCGCAGGGATTTTGTCCTTGTATCTAAACCCAATTCCAGATCGCTGTCTTGATGAAGTTCCTGGTAACCCTCCAGCAGCTCTCAATCCGCTTTTTCTTAGTTGTTTTTAAGATTTCTCAACTTCTTTTGTTTTTTTTCGAGCTAAAAACTAGGTATAACATTATACAGGTCAAAAACTATCAGGCAGTTACAAATTTTTTTTTTTCAAAAATTTTTTTCCCATTTTTGTTTGGCCGTGAAATCTGGCGTGTTGTCTTTCTGTATCTGTTGAATTTGATTTAATGCTCAAAAGTTTCGAGATTTTCAGTAATTTCGTCCCTTTTATTCATAGCAAGTAGTTTTCTTTTTTGATATCTTTTTTAATCTTCATCGTTATTGAAGGAGTAAGTGCTTCCTTTCCACTGGATTGATTCAGATCAAGCAGTCTCACAAGTTATGATTCATAGGTTATTTTCTTCATTACAAATGAACCGATTCCCTTGTCCAACAGCACTGCCACTAACTCGTTGTCCTTGAAGTATTTTCTCGCCTTATCTATGCCTCTGTTCGATGGTGTCTGGTCCGACCCTTTACTGTAGGCTTCTGGCGCGGCATCAACCTCACAAAGCTCTCCCCAGGCGAGACTTTCCGATAATTGAAATCTGATTCGAAGATGTCCAAATCAGTGAGAAAGTGTCTCAAAAAACTTGTCCCAGAGTGGATGTTTTGTTCTAAATGACAAAAGTGGCTACAACCAATTTTGTAACTCTATGTCATCGATGGGTCTCACCGATCTCCTACTTTTCTGACTTATTGGTCAGTCCTGCCTTTCAGCCGCTATTTCAAGCGCTTTTTGACGTGTTACTTGTCTTGCCGTAATTGTCTTTCTTCCACTGAGTGTTAAGTATCTAATCACCGATAACCATCAATCTTCGTTTACCTTTCTTTGTACAACTACTCTTGCTTTTTTATTTTGCTCTAGATGTTCATGGCCTTTATCCTAGCACCGTTGATCTCTGTTACAAGACGTTTCAATTGAAAGAGTGGACTGCTTGGTCCATAGAAAAAAAAAACGTTTTTCGGCAAACGGAACCTCAAAAATCAGTTAATATGTCATTTTCCTGAAAAACATTTAGTAATTTGCGTTAGTGGCAATTTTCAAATTTGTAATGTATGAAGACATAAATACCAAGTAATTCCCAAACTAAATTTTCTTCAAAACCAAATATCACCGTTGAAGGTTGGATATCATCATTTTCACTCGTTTCATTGTGTGAAAAAAAAGTTGGAACACATTTTTTTCTGCTTTTTGAATTGAAACAGAAATTGAATTCTCACAGGTAGTGAGCCATTTATATCAAAAGAACAAATTTCGTATATTTTGATCCAAAAAAAACTAATAAGTACTGAAAACTTTTCTTCGTTTTTTGAGAGATGCAACTTCACATAACGTTCTCTCGCTCCGCTTAGAAAATTTTGAACTGGAAAAAAATTTTCAGTAGGAGCTTTGGAAAATGAGCTAATTTTAGTTGTTTTTTAGATTTCGCATTTTTTTGTGTTTTTTGAGATTAAAAAAATAGGTCTAAGATTATACGAGCTGAACCAATTTTCCAAACGCTTTTTGATGTGTTAGGTGCATGGCCATAGTGGACTTTCTTCCATTGAGTGTTAAGTATCTTACTACCGATAACCATCAATCTTCGTTTTTCTCTCTTAGTACAACTCCTCTTGCCTTATCTACTTTGCTTTAGATTTTCTTTGCAATTATCCCAGCACCGTTGATATCTGTTACGAGACGTTTCAATCGAAAGAGTGGACTGCTTGGTCCAAAGAAAAAAACGAAACCTCAAAAATCAGGTACTATGTCATTTTCCTGAAAAACATTTTGAAAATTGCGTTAAAGACAATTGTCCAATTTGTCATAAATGGAGACAATTTCACGAGGAAGTTTCCAAGTTAAATATTGTTTAATATTCCATATCACCATTAGAGGTGGGATCAAAACGTACTCCTTATTATACAGCCACGAGGATTTATCCTAACATGACTTAAAGCAAAATAAAAACACAACTCTGATTCTTTCTCTCCGTTAAAGCCTCCTCCTTTTGTCACCTTCAGTATGCTGGACAATATCCACAAGTCTTCTTTCTTTCCGCCTTTCTCCTGGTGATGATTTTCTGTTTGTGTTAGATCGGAATTTAGAAAAACTCGCAGGGATTTTGTTCTTGTATGTAAACCCAATTCCAGATCGAGGTCTTGATGAAGTTCCTGGTAACCCTCCAGCAGTTGTTAACCGGCTTTACTAATTAGACACATACACACACGCATAAATATATAAACTGCAGTAAGAAAGTAACGTAACAAAAAGATTTTCAAAACACAAAAAAAAATTATCAAGAAACTAGCTTTGTGAAAAAAAAACCATTTTATTTCTTTCATTGTGTGAAAAAAGTTTGAACACTTTTTTTTCTGACTAAAAAAATGAAACAGAAAAAAAATTGAATTCTGAGAGGTAGTGTGCCGTTTATATCAAAGGAATCAAATTTCGTACATTTTGATCCGGAAAAAAAACTGGTTAAAACTGAAAAATTCTTCTGCATTTTTTGAGAGACGCAATTTCACATCACGTTCTCTCGCTCCGCTCACTAACTTCTGCAAAAATTGGTAATT